AAGCAGCACATCCTCATGCATTCAGAACATTCGCCTGTATATTTCCATCAGATCCTTACACAGCCTATCTCACTTCTGAACTCCTTCCCAAGGGTCACCCTCATCCTTTTCGCTTAGGAGAAAGAAAAAGAAGGGGAGAAATAGGACTTCAAATCCACAACTGCAGAATTTGCAAAATCATCATTTGCCATTTCCCTACAGTATCTGTGATCAATTCATAACCAACCCTGTCCCTTAACTGCCCATGCTGCAGCATCTTATCCCAGTACCATTTCTGCTTAAAGCTATCTTAGGGGAGATACAACTTCTCAGTGCTTAAGCCCATTAAGTCACATTTTATATAGCCCCTTCTCAACACTTCTTTCCACTAAATGGAAAGAAAAAAAAAAAAAAGCTTCAAAAATGCTATAAAGTAAAAATAGATATTTGAAAAAGATGATTACATTCATTGAGTTTTGTCCCCTAAAGCCATCAGCCTGTCTCAGAAACCATCAGGTCTCCTCCACCAGACAGCAAAAACAGGGCAGGAAGAGTCACAGATGCTGTCACACATACTGGTGAGGCCACAGCCATTGCCAAGATGAGAGCCTGGACACATAACCAGCTCTTGGCCAAGATTGCATGCTTCTAGCCCAAATCACAGCCCACAGGTCCCCAAGGAGACCCATCAGGTGTTCCCACACCTGGGTGAGACAGCAGCAGAAGATAAGTCTTTAACCTCCAGTACTTCAAAGCACTTCACTCAAGGCTTGATGCTGAGTAATTTTGCTATACCAACATAAAAGTGTTTTCAGGAAGCCTGCATGTCCCTGAGCAGGTTTTGATCTCTTTGATACCAGTGTGAAACCGAATAATCTCCCTCTGATGCCAGTGGGGCTTGCCTAGATTACAACTGTCTCAAAGGTGATTAAGCCCAGGATGCTATTTAGGGATGCTGCTCACAAACTGCTTCCCTTTTGTGGAGCACCTTCAGGCCAGATCCAACAGAAGCAGGAGAATGGGAAATTTAGCTAAAATTAATATTTTCCCCCTTTTCAGGCAGCATCACAGACTGGAGACAAGGACGTTACGTTGAGTTTGCTTGAGCCTCGTCTACAGCAGAGCCTGAGCAGTTGTTGCGGTGCAGTGCAGTCACTGCACGGCAGGCAGTGAGGACAGGAAGCTTTATCAAGAGTGCTTTGATGTGTATCACCTCCTCCTCTCATTTAAATGCACTGACTGTGAGTGACTGCAGTGTCTGCATGATAGGACAGACGTGGGTAATGTAAGGCTGGCTACTCGAGCAACTTCAAAGCCCGTTACACAAATCAGAGGCAGCTACAAATTACATGTGCTGCAGTCAAGGTTTTTAAATTGTGTTGCAAAACACTGATCCACACGACAGGCAGGAGACCTAGAGGTCACAGTGGTTTCTGCAACAGCAAAGAAACCTGGTCCGATTTCATAGCCAGGAGGCTGATCTGCGGTTTTCTTCCAAGCAGAATTACTTTACGATTTTATGAAGTGCTTATTTCTGATTAATAGCAAGGAAGGCCTGTGCTGCCCTCTTTGCTTAGCTGCCAACAACTGCAAATCTCAATATTCTCAGCATTCTGGCTTTGGACATCATAAGTGATAGCTAATAAAGAACCACAAAAGCAGGAAGACAGCCATACCCCTTTGCATCCAGACACATTCAGATCGGAGTTAAAGAGCTTCAGGCACATGCTAGCTACTCAGCTGCTTTTCAGGTCTTCAGTTCAGGTACCAATGAGGACAGCAGAACAGAGCACAACCCCACCTCTATCCTGTCAGCCAGGAAATGCAGGTGCAAAAGCACAACACAGGTCTTTATCTGTGCTCTAAAACAAGCCAAGCGAGAAACATAGAGGCATTTCTGTATTCTCCAGATTATGTTCAGCTTCTGGGGATTAAAAAGACAAGACACACCTATATCCCTGCACGGGGAACTGCACTTCTAACTGATGAGAATCAAAGGAAATGCTGGGTTGTCTCAACATGGTTTTGGACTAGTGGGCAACAAGGTTGGAGGAAAACAAGGCAGTGTGAGAAGTGCAAGGAGAGCTTAGAAAGATTAAATCAAAGGCCGTGCCATCAAAAACAAGAAAATCTTACGGCATGTGTTGTTGCAAGCAAAGGGAATATGACAGACTGCAAGATAAGATTTTTATGGGGGGCAAGTCCATGTGATCAAGTTTATGGCTGAGAACACGCTCCATGTCAGCAGATGATGCTGTGTCCAATCTCCAAACCTGCCAGCATGCCTGCAAGGCTCTCTTCTTAACCACAGCTCGATTTGAGCAGCTGCTTGCTTTTTCTCAGACATGCACATATGCACACAAATATACCCCCTCCAGCAGTTGTAAAATTCAAGCTCAGCCGGGAAGATATGGCCTCTCATAAAACACTTGGGACTCAGGCAGCTTCAGAAATTCAGAGGATTATTGCCTTGTGCCAGGATTGAGCAGGGCTCTGTCTTTGTCCTCCATGCTCTGCCAGCTCAAGACAACACTACAGAACCTGTATTGGAGCTGCAGAAGGAGAAGCAGGGGGAATAGAATAAAACAGGCAGTAGGGGATGCCTGAGGCTGGCTGACATCCTTTGCACACTTAAACACATTGCAGTTGCTAGCAAAGTCTGCTGGAAGTTCTTACATCTCCAGAACACTGCTGCAACACCTGTTGATCTTGTCCCCAGTTTTATCTATCTGCTTCACTTCAACAGTGAGCAGAAATCCCTGCTCAGGCTAGTTCTTCTGGTTCAGATAAGGCACACTCTCTGTCAACTTCCAAAACTAGCTATGCTGAAATGAGCCATGCTGAAAAGCTAAGATACGCTCCCTATGCATGGCACTGCTGCCCAGAGCTGTGGTGCCCCATCCCTGGAGGTGCACAAGGCCAGGTTGGATGGGCCTTGGGCAGCCTGAGCTGGTGGGGGGAGCCCTGCCCACAGCTGGGGTTACAGCTGGGGGGGCTTTAGGGTCCCTTCCAACCCAAGTCATTCTGTAATTATATGATGGCAGCTCAACTGCTGCTAAAGGTAAGAAGTGGCAGTGAGGTATCCCAAGCAGCCTGTGACCACAACAGCTAAAGGGATCAGCCACCTACCCCAGCAACAAGCAATGCTCATGCACAGCTCAGACGTGCAACCTGCACCTGGGCTCAAGCTGGTGTTGTGAGCATGGGAATTTCTTAGTCTTGACTCTTGGTGGGGATGGGATAACCATCACAGGATGCTGCATTGCCCTTCCGTTGGGAAAGGCATCCCTTCATGTGGTCCAAGAGCTTGCTTGGTGCATAACCAGGAATGCAATTAAAGCAAAACCTGAAAACTTGGTGTGAGAGCAGAGCATTCTGCTTTGGGCACCAACACTTGGCTGAGAGACTGTAGGAGACCTGCTCACCCCAAGGACGTGCTTTAGAGGTGAACAAGTGTCCCTACAGCCTCCTGCCCCTCACGTGAGCCTCTTTGGGGATGGCAGCTGGGAGCCCCTTGGCATGGCTCTTTGCACGGCAATGCACTGGAGCAAGGCACATTGTAGGATGCAGCTTCCCTCATGAACAGCTGAAGCACCAGCTGCAGCAGCTCCTCAATCACATGCATTCTGAGTAAACATTTTCTTCTATGTGGGATGTTTTGCACTCTGCATTTCCATCTTCCCCCAGGCCACCATGCCAGGACCTGGGTGCAGCCAGGGGGCAACTGAGTCTACCTTCTTTCTTAGTAGGGCAGATGGTTAATAACCTTGGGGTTAATTCCCTCCAGGAATAGCACGCTCACTCTCTGATCTACTCTAATAAGTGTCCATCAAGGCTGTTAGCCCCATTCTGGAGAAAGGAGCTTCTACTCCTTACTATGAAAAAGGGCTAGGAAAACAAATAGTATTAATAAATAAATAAGTAAGCACTACTGACTACTAGAGGGCTGGAGAGCTGTTGTCATTTCAGCATTTCAACCAAAGTGCTGAAGAGAATTTTTGGGTGCCAAAGGATATGTTTTTACCACCATGATGCTGGGTTATTTCTTTCAGCAGCTCCAATAAGTTCTTACCTCTCCCGTTCACTCCACAATAGACTCTTACAGCCCCCCATGAACTCCTCCCTCTGTAGAGAAAAACAGTTGCTGAGCAGCTGTTCCATCCATTTGCACCATCTCAGGGCCTCCTTCACAAGACAAGAGTTCCCAGCACCAGCAAAGGCTATGCCCATCACAGTGATGTGTTCCTGCACACCCACTGCTGCAGCTATATATCACACAAACTTATCCTGCTTTTCTGGAGAGAAAAAAAAAGGTTTTTTCTTTCTGTTCTTATGATCTTGGAATAATGCATTTACATGGGAAGTAATGTTTTTAATTGATAGATTCAGGATTACTACACCTGACAATAAATCAATTTAAGTGAAATATTTGATTTTAAGGATACAATCCAGCCAGAACAAAACCCAGTCTAAAAGCCCAGATCCCCCTCTAACATCCTCAAATCAAGGAAGCAGAACACTACTATCTGCCCATATAACAAGATTTCTTGAAGGAGATGAGGAAAATACAGAAGACTGAATAACATTACCATTGCCACTTCTCCTGATTTCTCTGTGAATCCTAGGATGCCCTTAAATCATAGGCTCATAGAGCTATTATGGTTGGAAAAGACCTCTCATATCACCTAGTCCAACCATCCACCTACCATCAGTATCACTCAATCACCACGTCCCTCAGTGCCACATCTCCATGGTTCTTGAGCACCTCCAGGGACGGTGACTCCACCACCTCCCTGTGCAGCCTCTGCCACCGCCTCACTGTTCTTTCTGCAAAGAGTTTTCTTAATACTCAACGTGAATCTTCTGTATGCAACCTAAGGCCACTACCTCACATCCTAGGGGCAAGCGCGTCTCCTTGCTGCGCACACCTCTCCGTGCCCCTGCCCTAACCCCCCCAGCAGAACTGTGGTCCCCCCGCAGTGCCTGGCATCCCAGGGGAGGGAGGGCATTGTGGGCAGAACCTGTGGTGGCGGGTGTCACGGACGGCACGGTCACTGGGCATCCTCTCGCTCTCCCGCTGGTTAAAGGCATGGAGCCGGTACGGGTCCTCTCCGCCCTTCCACTTCCGAGCGCTCAGGTATCTCCGCTCTTCAAACTGATCCCACAGGTCGTCCCAGTCCGCCTCGGAGCCCTGCGCGCACAAAGTCAGCCCCATTAGAGACAGGAAGGAGCACCCGGCCCCGCTCCAGAGGTTGGGCAGCCCCGAGCCAGGCGTCGCTGGAAGATGCTAACAGTGAGCTTAGCTAAGCCTTTGTTTTTTGTTGGTTCTTTTTTCTTTGTTTCTTTTCTTGTTTTCTTTTTCCCTGCAGTCCTGTAGCGACGTGTTAAAGAGAATTTGGTCGTTGGAGTTTGAAATGATTAATTTCTAACCAAACACCCCCACCACTGGTGGGTCCCGCTCTCTAGCAGCATGGTCTCAGCAAAAGCAGACAGACGCACAGACCTGCAGCCCTGCCACGCCATGCCCTCCTGGGGTGCCAAGCAAAAAGGACAGAGAAGCTTTTTTGGCACCTGGCCAGCGAGTGCAAGACAGCGCCGATAAGATCGCATCATTCCAGCAGCACAGGCTCTTTGATCTCAACACGTAATGCAGAGAGATTCAAACATTTACAGATGGCTCAGCCCCTAAGAAAATTGTGATCTTATCCAATAATTGATCTTTACTCCTTTTTTTTTTTTTCTTTTTTTTCCCCCCCCCCTTTTCTTTCTTTTTTTTTTTTTTTATTTCTGTTAACACCATCTCAAAGGAGATTTTGCCTGCTAATAGTGAAAACGGAGCTTTTGAGACGGGTGATTTTTATCCTGTAATTGATTTTACATGCGACAGTGCACTCGCTGTGTTAACAGGACAGGGAGGAGGGAGCCCCAGCTGCTGCTCATCAGCCAACCACCAGCACTGCTGCAGGGCATCCCCAGAGCACAGTACCCAACAAGCACCCCGCTTCAAGGGACTCTCCCCCAACTCCTAGTAGAGCAGGGCTACAGGGCCTTGTAGGTACGGGGTAGTTATTCCCCTGTAGCTTGACCTCACAGCTTTATTTGGAGTTCCTCCAGAATTTATCCTGCTGCATGACACAAAGAAAGCCCTGAACTACCAGCTGGATCAAGAGAAAGCCCTCAAAGACTGGGAGAGAGTTATTAAAATGATCAGGTCACCACACCCAGCAGGTTTACGAGCAGAGGAACGTACGTAAACCATCTGTAGGTTTTCAGGAGGACCGATGTAGACGGGGTGATAAATATTGTTGATGTTTTTTCTGAGGCATCTTGCAAAACATGATTTACTGCTGTGTAAAAGATGAGGGAAAAGCAAGCCGATTGCATCAAAGGTCCACCAAAGCCTTCGAGTTTATAAAGATTTCATGGTGTGCCTGGGGGGACTTGCTCTGTTAAAACAACTGCCACCTAAATTTTAATGGCAGGAAGAAAAGCAAAACTAGCTTTTTTAAAAAAAGAAATCAAACTTGATTTGAGAAATGGATTTTAAAAGTGGTCACAGAGCACTTAAGGCTGTTAGATGTCTCTCTATATATTTAAATGTCAATTAAATCCAATAGGCTTAGAGCAGCTGGACATGCACCATTCAGGAAAGGCTCCAACAAGCTTGAGTGAGAAGGCTGCTGTGGGTCAGGAAAATGTTGTTTGCTAGCTATCCCCAGCCCAGCTGCACACTTGGAGCATCTCTGTGGTGAACATTCAATACCCCTGCAACATTTCCTCCTGAAACTCGCCAGCCCACTTTGATTCATCTGCTTCACCCACCTAGAGACAGGACATCAGTTCTGGGTCACTGGATGAGGTCTTAATTGTAATATTTCCCTTACATATTATCACCTCTTCCTTGCTCTAGAGTCCTGTCTTAGGAATTACTTAACTGATGTGCAGAAATCTAAACTTAATTTATTGTGATCTAACTCACTTTACAAGCCAAATTGCCCTGCACTAGAAAAGAATTAAGTCAATACTCTTCTTGCCTTTCTATCTTCCACAGCGCTCCTCTCCCTAAGCTTCATATTCATTTTCTCTCATGTACAAGTAATAAATTTTCATTGTTTTTCCTTGGAATTAGGTAATTTCTCTTTTAGCACTGCAATTTAATGGCTAGTATTAATTATAGGAAACACTCAGTGCTTAAAGAGTTTGAGAGACTGAATGAATCCACAGGAAAGAGTGGAAAAAGATATCAAAAAAATGAGTAGCTCTGGCCACAAGTGCTATGAAGCTCACTCTCTCCTCCATGCTGCACCCTGCAATGCCTCTGTTGCATTTTCTTACCCACTGCAGAGAACATCAGCTGCATCCCATCATGTGGCAGGGATGCTCCCAAGCGAGAATGCAGAGCAGGGAGAACTGTCTCATGTCAAAAATACCCCCAGATCCCAACAACAGCAAATAAGAGGTCAAACAACAAACCAAGATCAAGCACAGGGGTGATTTTCCACTTCAACGGCACTGGGTGCAAAGGTGTATTTTGTCATCTCCTGCTTAAATAATGGATCAGGAACAAAAGAAGGGGCAGTGGTGCTGTGGAGGAATAGCAGGTCATTAGCTGCTAAGAATACAATCTTCTGGCAACCATTAGTGCTTTGTTTATGTGGATTTCCCTGAATATGACATATTAATGGCATAATAATTGTGTGATTACAGTAAAGCAGGGATCACTGGAGAAGGAAAGAGGAACAAGCATCCCTGCCTGCTTAGGGCATGAGGCATCCTGCAGAATAGTTCTGCCCCCAGATACGGGCTGAATGTTTGCAAAATGAACTGTTCTGTCCAGAGCAGGGAGCTTGGAGAGTTCATAAGGAAATACATATGGGAAAAAAAAAATCATCCACTGAAAATCATTAAATAGATCATTCCCTGAGCTGAAAGCAGTTGGGAGAGCAGGAAAGGCATTCCATCTAGCCCAGGTGGGTGCCAAGGAGGAAAGGTAGTGGGCAGCAGGAACTAAAAGTGGCTCCTGATTCAGTCCATTGCGATGTTTACCGGCTTAAAATAGAGAACATAAGCCTTTGCTAAAATAAAAGTTGTTTTTGTTTTGGCTCCATTTAGACTCACACAAGCAGGACAGGCACAAGGCACAGGGTTTCACATGGGCATTCTGTGCTTGCTCTCCCTCTTAGGGTCTGGCTCAGTCACTTGGAGAGCTGGGAGCACCAGCAGAAACAAGGCATGTCATTGCACTGGGACATGATCATAAACATCAGCACATCAGCAGAGACCCTTGCTCTCTGAAGAGCTGCAGCCTCTCTTCCTTAGGTAGGATCTCGCCTCCCCAACCCCTCACCAAGTGTTCATCTCTGAGGCTTTCCTGGGACTTGGGCATTAATAAAAAGGAGGACAGGAGAAATATCAAAATACATCAGCCTAGCAGGAGCTCCAGTAAACAAGGGAAAACTCCTCTCCATTTGGTGCAAGCAGCCTCTAGGGATCCCGATATCCTGAGGCATGTCACTCCAGTCCACAACAATTCGAACTCTGTGTGTGCTGCTGCTCAGGGACACCAAAGAAAGAGGGTAATCCTTTGGCAGGAATTGCAGCCAGGCATTACACAAATGAGATTTAAACATCATGCCAAAGCACTGGGCCCCTGTGAGCGGAAGGCTTGATTATAGGGCTGCTGCTGTCCAAGGCGCTAATGCCATCTGAAGGGATTATATATAACACTTCAAACAGAGTAGGGCTCATCCTTCCCTGTGCCCTGGTGCCCGAGCAGGCACTAAGAGGGACAGCAGCCCCAGCAGGAGAAAGCAGCAGGGCATCGCGCTGCCTCCCCATCTCCCCGAACATCCCAATGGGACTCGCTCAAATGCAGGGTGGGACCGCACATGGGGCACTTGAAAAAGCTGAGCATCAAGGTGCAAGTCACACTTTGGGATATATTTTTTCTGTGCTCTAGTCCACATTCTGATAGCTCCATCCCAACCTGCAGCGACAGGCACGGCTACAAGGCCACACTCTGCCTCATGTGGTGGTCCCAGAAGTGGGCTGCAGACCAGGCTTTGTGCCCACAGTGCCGTTCTGGGGAGATCCAGGTACTGTGCAGCAGCTGGGGGACTGGCACAGGACCCACCCCTCCTTCTGCTTACCCTCCTATAAGCAATCCGAGCACTTCAGTACAAAGTTAGCCAACTGCAGGCATTTGTATGAGCCCACAGAAGTCACTGTTTAAACACTTAACTCTTAAGTGCTCGCTTAAGCACCTCTTTGGCTCAGGGCCTTCTTCATCAGCTTTGTGCTGACTCCAAACACGTGCTGGAAATGGAGGCAGCTCTGATCCCAGGCTGTCACCTGCCCTTCACAGCCTTCTGCCCCGTGAAGACTTCAGCTCCAACTCCTCAGTTTGAGGGCTGTGACACTTGCTGAAGTACCTGGGCACAGGTACACCTTGGTGGCAGCTCCATGGGGTAGACCCTGAAGGGCTACCTCAGGTGAGGATGCAGAGCTGAGCCAAGGACCTCCCATCGCTTGGAGGTGATTCAGTATCTCTCAGCAGAGCTGAGACCATTCAGGCTGGGGGAAGAAAAAAACTAAATATCAGATCAAATATTAATACAGATACCTAATTAAGACAAAGCATTTTTCTAGCAAAGTCTGTCCTCTGACTTGAGTCCCTAGAGGATCTCTAATCATTCATCACTGAGCTTGCTGCAAGTGACCTTTTCCTGCCTGTGCCTGGTCTCTCTCACACACACAGCTGTCTTCAAAAGACAGAGCATTGCCTCCTTTTGCTAGCTCAGCAGGAGCACGAGTCCCTGAGGACCTTCCAGTAAGTGTCCCACTTACCCACGGCCCTGAAGCCAGGGCCATGTTGTCATTACCCTTGCTGGAAAATGGCCATAGCAAAGGACTTGGCCTTCGAGAACTTAAGTCTGTAAGCACTGCCTGGATGGAAATATTCCTGTTCTGGGTCTTGACCTGGATTTCCAATGCCTCAGTGTCCCCATGCTCATCTGGGCATAGCATAGGCTGCTGGCCATTGATATGGCACAAGGAGCCATTCCAGAGCTGAGGCAGCTGGACTGTGTTTAGGTAGATCACAGCTAGGACCAGCACTTTGTGCATTTTCCATTTGTATCCTCAATAAATGATGCACAGGGTTCACAACACCCTTCAGGGGCTTATATTTGC